TTAGAAAAGAACAGTTTTTGAATCAATAAATTTGGAATGCTTCCCTAAAAATATATATTTTTGTTAAATGAAAAATATGTATAATAATATTTTTATGAAATATTATTTAATAGTCGTCATAATAAAATAAAAAATATTATTGAATAAAAATATTTTCATAAAATAATATTTATTTTTTGGAAGGAACCCAGTTTATTTTGCTATTTCTTCGTTTCAGCTTGATTTCGTGCAATAATGATTTCCTTATTTTATCTTCAATCTGAATCTGTACTAAGCATCAAAGTTACTCATACGCCATAGCTACCAAGCTACTGACATTCCTCAAAATGGACTGGAGAGATAAGACTGAAAATTACTATATTCGTATGTAAATTATTCTAATTTTTAATATAATTTAAAAGGAAAATTAACTTTTACTTAATTATTTTATTTTAGCAAAAAAAAAATTCTAAGTAACATTTTTAGGCATTAAAAGCCAAATTTTTTGCACCATTTTTATTTGACATCTGGCTCTTTTATGTCAATTTAACGACGAATTTCATAGCCTTCAAAATCAAGAGAAAAAATCTGTGTCGACACATTCTGCCAGTTTAGCTGTAGTAATGACTCCAACACCAAATAGACAGAACCTTGATTTTATCAATTAAAGCAAAAACAAAATGTAAATAATCAGCCAAAAAATAAACAAATGAAATAGACTACGTATACCAACTTGAAACCTGCGAACGAATAGAACAATGCAAATATTTAAAAGAAAATTAAATTAAAACAGCGGTGATGAAAATGGAGCAAGTACATTGTTTAGTTGAAAATTAGGCAGAGCGGTGGCCAAAATACAAAATAAAACTTAAAAAAAAAAATATAAAAAAATAAATAAAAATAGAAAATAGAAAAACTTGAAAATTGAGTGGGAGATCTAGATACATATATGCGCGAGATAAGATACACAAAGCCTCTAAATATAGTAATATATGTGCGGTGATTTTAAAACAAAATCTGTTTACGCAAAAAACAACTTTTTTTTTTAATAAAATCAAAAGCCAACAACAAGCGATTATCTTTTGAGAATTTTCAGCTAGAAAATTGTGGCTGGCGTTAGTCGGTATCGAGAGTATCTATCGTGATAGGAAAACCGGACCAAACGTAGATTTTTGCGTATTTATAGATATATTTATAAAGCAAACAATAGCCGCGGCTCTGTGGCTGCATGGCGAGCTATTTGTAAAGTGATTCCGACTAAATTATTTGGATAAGAAAATACCGAAGTGAACAGGAAGCAAATCGCAAGCGAAACCAAACAGTTAATGAGAACGCTGGAAATGTGTCTAAATTTCGTGAAGAAAGAAGATAATATATGGAAACATATAATTTTGAATATGTATGTATATTTGTGTAAGTTTATAATTTTCCCATTCACTTTAAAAATTATGTGCTTTTTGTTTATGATTTTAGACATTTTCCCTTTGTTGATTCTCCCTAAAATATATACAACATGTAATTAATCACAAGAAGAAAGTAATAAAATAAATTTTCGTAAAAAAGAATTTATGGATTTAATTCTAATATTGAGTCGATTTTTTCTGCAACATTATCTCAAAGGTAAGTTGGTTTTTCTCCGAAGCCTGCTTATATAGATATAAGTCCATCCGATCTAAACAGTTTCTTTGGAGATTGTAGCGTTGTCTCTGAAAAAAATCCTTTTCAAATTTGGTGAAGTAATCTTGTCAATCAATACAACAATTTAATTTTGAACGTTCAGTTTGTACGACAGGCTATAGTATGATAGTTTAGTAATACATGACCAGCTTCTTAGGAAGAAAAGGGTGTGTTCAAAATTTCTGATCGACATCTCAAAAATTGGGGGAATATTTTATAGGGTCTCCGACGTTTTCTCTAAGATATTCCTAGCAAAATTCGTGGCGAACTTCATGTGGTCTGTTCATGGTATAAAAATATATTTGGGTAAAGCGATATATCAACTGTTTCGAATACAACTATTCGCCTATATATTAAATACTATATAAAGGCATAAAGTTTGTCTTAACTTTTTCTATATAGCACTGTAGCCTTGCAGAAATCAGTGCGATCTTAAGTATATGATCTCTCTCACAAGCTCTGTTTCATAGGCTCCAACATAATTTAGGTTAACAACAATACGAGTACATCAGCTCAAAAATTATTTCGATCATATCCGCTATAATATATTATATACAGATTACTTTGCTCGTTTTCCAAAAGCATTTTCACTACATTTTTGTTGAATATACTTTTTGAAAATTAAAACAAAAAACAGACTGCCGAAAATTATTCTTCTAAACTCTAGAGCTCTCTCAATTGCGAATTTAACGATTTAAACTTGAATTTGTCGATAAAGGTGTGCTCCAAAAGAATTTTTTTTTTTTAACTTGAAATTGATTGTTTTACATTACGGTATTTTATGTTTGAAAACATTTCACAATACACAATATAAGTTATAGTTATGAAGAAGTCTAATAAAAAGGTGTACAAATCCTAAAAATATTTTTGGCAAAGGATTCTACTGTTTTGAAATCTTGTGTATAATTATGGTTTTCAACATTGTAATAAAATTTAAGAGATTTAAGATCAAAGGAAAAAAGACCAAAAAAGGTACCCAATATTTCTAAAGAAGGTACAATGTTGACGAAAATTTAATTTTTCGAATAGGTCCTAGGAAAAATCTCTCTTATAACATATGAAATGGTTTACCAGAAAAACATATGTTAGACAGCTCCAAGGACCAATAGTCCAAAAGTAGATATTTTGGCTTAAATTACTGCCAACTGGAACATAAACATTAGCAATGACGTTTAAAAAGTTTTTATTAAGTGGCGCATGTCTTAGGAGAACATTTGGACTAAATAATTTAAGACGTCAACAAAAGTGCGAAAAACAATTCAAAATTGAAATCTTCAAACAACTGACAATTCATAAAGCGCACCGCAAAATATTCGACAAAAATTAACACAAATGAAAAAAATTTGATGTAGAACAGAACACCCACTATGTTTGTACATACATACATATGTAGGTGTATATTTACCTACATATTTTCTTTCAAATAGCACACTTTACTTACATAACTACTGCGGTAGGAAGACATGATTGCGTATTTGGCACAAAGGCCAGCCGTGAACTCGCTGCAAAAATCTTTTCACACCCGCTGCGCCTGCTTCCGTTTCATATGCGATTTTTTGGATTTAATCTTTTGCTTTTCTACTTTATGGCACTGTGTTGCTTTTCTACTTTTCTCTGGCGTTTACTTGCTTTCTTGCTCGATTTACACTGCACCGTCGCTGATCGGTGCACAGAAGCGCTGTGTCGTGGATTGCACGCGCGCTTGTACGATTTCACTTGTATTAATTTAAAGTTTCTTTTCTCAATAAATTTTTTTTTATTTTTATGATTTAGTTTGGCAGCCTTTGTTAGTCAATTTGCAGCGTTTACTTCACACATTTAAATATATATTTTTATTGCCGTGTGAACGTCGGCAGTTGAGCGATTGGCATTTACTTGGGTGCGCACTTTTAATAAAAAATAATTAGTTTAATTAAATCGACGCTGATTAGCACGTATGTAAACACTATGCTTATTTTTTGTGAAACTTTTCTAATATTTTTTAGTTGGGGCTTGCGTGGAATAAATTTTTTGCACAAAGCACACTGGCTGCCATTCTTCAATCAATTATCATTGACACTTCTGATTGCACTGCGCGCTGTATTGGCATTGTCGGGTTCGCGTCGCGCTGGGGCACTATCGTTCAATCACTTTCGAGCGCACTAATCAAGGGTTTTGGCGAATCTGATGGCACGTTGATGTCGCTAAAAAACCGAGCGCGCTTTTAGAAATACTTTTTATGGCTATTTCTTTAAAAATACACATATATATATATATATATATCCCATATATATATTGACGCACACCAATACACATATATATTCTTATTTTTCGCAGTTAACTTAAATGCACTTAAGGACCTCTAATGTATTTTCAATTGCCAATTAATACTTTACGCGCAATAATTGTAGCGCGCGGAACTGCCGCGCTCACTAGCGGACAATCAGTAAGTGCACTGCACTTGCACAAATCCAGCGCGCGCCTATAATCTAAGCGACGTGCAAAATGATTAGTAAAGATTTATTACGCGCACATATGCCTATAAACTCTTTAATATAAGCGCATATAAATAAACACCATATAAAACATATAAGTATTACATATATCTATATTCTGTTATTTTTGTAACACGCGCTCACTCTTTGGCGTATTGACTGCACGCGCGCTGCACTTTTTGTTCGCGCCGCACCGGTCGATCCCTAAGCAATCCTGACGCAATAGCTTAGCAAGCTAAAAGTCGCTCGCATAACGGTACACGCATTACCCGGCAGCAATGGATGAAATGCAAAACAACTGTATACTAGATATATACTTAAACAGACCACGCACACATGTATGTATATGGACGCGTTGCACAAGTGGAGCGCCGCGGGGTTGAGTACAAGGAGGCGAACGCGCACTAGCTTGTCACGTCATTTGTATTTGTGCAGCTGCAGTATTTATTTAAACGACACATTGCATTCACTTTGCTTATTTTGTGTTGTTTTCCTCTTTTTTCCTTGATTTGTTTTGTTTTTGTAGCAGTCACCACTTTTTGTCGACGCGCGCCGCTCGGTACTTATTTTTAAAATTCAGCGAACAAAATAATACAGAATTTCTATTTGAAGTTGTTTTTTTGGCTTTCCACTTTTCTTCATTTACTTTGTGCTCCCCGTGAAATGTGGAGAAGAATGTGTAAAAGTGTTGGCACGCGTCTGCCTCTATGCGTTTCGTTTTCGGTGGTAGCTTTTGCGCGTACGTTACGCTTGCACGGCGCGTTGTCAAACGACTAAATACGAAATCAGCTTCCGACTGCTAATTCGCCACAAGTAGCGCTCCCGACGTTCGACGCGCGGCGCTCAACGAGTTGCAGTCAACAATTTACACTCGGCCCCTATGTAGCGCCGGCTGCGTTTCATATCGACTTAATACGATTAGAATCGATGTGATACGATATGATTTTCAAAAGTAAATAAAAATATCATAACACGAATAATAAATTCATAGAGAAAAGCGGCATCTCTTTGCTTCAGATATTCACATTTGTGTGTAGTGAGTTTGATGATCTTCGGCGTGCCGAGCACAAACGTTCGCTCTCAGCTAGGTGCCGGTGGGTGAGTATGAAAGACGCGCTGTGCGCTTCTTAGCGAAAATTTTCTTTTATAAATTTATTATATCGTTCTGTAGTTTATGTGTATGTTCTGTTTTGCAGCGGCTTAGTGAAGAAACTCTGTGTAAGTGTGACAATGATTATAAACAAATTTGAAAATTTGGAAACATTTTTTCTTTCTCCATATATTTATGAGTGAAGACTATTAAGTCCTTTTTGAGCATCTCAACGTCAGGTGTATAGCTCTAATAACTGAAATAAGTATTTATTTACTTTCCAATCAATTATGAGATATATGGCTGGAGTAACTAAAATTACTTTAATAGTGGCGAATCGAACAAATAACTAGCTTAAAAAATATATCGAATAGCAAGGGGTTATACGACTTGAAACAGATATATATATGTATATTTATTCTTCTGTATTAAATAGCACTTCACAAATTTGTTTTTCTTAACGCAGGTAAATTTTTTGAAAAGATATTCGAACAGAACGAGCGAGGTATTGGTTAGAGAAGAAGAAGAGACAGCCAATAATTAACGGTAATGCAGTTTTAATTTCAATAAGACTCGGTCAATTTTTATATTTTCGTGAAACAAGTGATAGCGAACATCTACATTCGTTGCTGTTGCATATTTAAGAGCTTTTTATTCATTCATTAAGCTCAAATCCCACATGAAAAAATATATAAAATACTTAAAAGCATCTCCCGATACTAAAAGACTTAAGAAGAAAGCTACAACAGTTCGTAGGTGGTTGGAACCCTACAGACTGACACTTCTAAATTTTAAAGAAGTACCATACATTATATATAGCACAGACATGACAGAGATGATACTGTGAATTTTTCATTTAAACAAATTAAATTATAATAAACTAAAATTAAAATTAACAAGAAAAAATGTTAACTTCGGTTGCACCGAAGCTATATACCTTTCACAAATACCAAATTATCCTTAGAAGAACTTGTTTTTGATCGTTCAGTTTGGATGGCAGATACATGCTATAGTGATCTGATCTGGAAAATCTCTCCAAAGATTGTATCGTTGCTTAAAAGAATAATTGATGCTAGATTTCGTAAAGATACCTCGTCAAATAAAAAAGTGTCCCATACAAGCACTGCCGTTCTGTCAAATGAGCAGCATCTTAGTCAGGTGCAAAATTTCAGAACGATAGCTCAAAAGCTGTGGGAGTTTGTATATATAGTATAGTTTGTATATATAGAGAAAGACGGACAAACAGACGGACATGACTTAATTAACTCAGATTATCATGCTGATCATTTATGTATATATTTTATAGGATAGGAGGAGGTTTCCCTCTGGGTGTTACAAACTTACTTTAAATATTAAAGAAGAATTTATAATAAAAATAAATTATTAAAAATTTAAAAATAATCACATTTTTTTAACTTATTAAAGAAACATAAATTAAAACATTCCAAAAAACTTTTATCCAAAGCAAGTGAAACAATCTTGACCCCACTCAAATTAACCCCCTCTGAAATACTTCCGCTTTGCCGAAATTATGCAGACATCTTGCAGTGGAATTTATTTATTTTATTATTTTGTTGCTCAAAATAAAACCAAATAATTTGTAGAAATACTTTACAGAGAGAAAGAGATTTTCCTCACCAACACAAATGTGTATGTGTGTGTGTGTTAGTGCGATGATTGCACGCAACAGCGAGCGCCCACGTAAACTCAACGGCTCTGTCCGGCAACAGGTGTGCGTGTGTTTGTTGATGTGTGTTCAGTGCACGCTTATACACACATACACACGCACACAGCTGCACATGCAGACTGGCCTGAAAATGTTTGAGAATTTATGGCACAACCCGGACAAAGTTGCGAACGCGTAGAATCGGGCGAAGCAAATTGCATACCTTGTTGTCTTAATTTAATAGTATATGCTTTGTTTTGATGCAACAATGAGGTGTGTGCTCTTGTTTTTGTAACGAGTGTAGCTTTGCAAACATACCTTAAAAAATAAGTGTGTGTTTTCTATTGGAATTTTTTTTTTTTTATTGGCGCTCATGTGGCTTCCATTTAATTTGCTTCAATCGCCTTTTTCGCCTCTTTTGCGGAAAAATATTTTTTGCAACGGTTTTTGCACGTTGCAACGCCCTTGCAACGCCACACTCAGCACTGCACCCACTCTCTCACTCACCGGCATACTCTCTCACTCCCGCTCCACATGAGCAACTTGCGCACCTCTTTCCAACACTCGTCGTGTTTTTGCGCTCTCAATCGTTGGCATCGTTACCATCGGTAAACTTGTCGGGTTTTCTGCCTTCATAGCGCTGATTTTTCAATTTATGATAGTGTTCTGTTATAATATTTTGTAGTTTTTATTGAAAGTGCAACGTCACATTGGGCTGCAGCAACAACAGCAGCGGTGAATGCGGTGATGACGACGTCGCATCAGACGACAGACGGTGACGTTGCGGATTTAAATAGATTTGTGCCACTTTCGATCGAATGAAATCTTAAAATTTGAGAAAAAACCGGATATTGTGCAAGAAGCACGACTTAAATGCATTTATTAACAGCACATGTGGTTAAAAATAAATACATACCTATAGACTTATGAAAATATGTATGTGTGAAAATTTTATTAAATCAATTAGAATTTCAGAGTTCGGAGTTATTTATTGCTGAATACTGGAAAGCACTGGAGCAGGTGGTTAAAGGTGTAATTTTATTTTGAAAAATGTTTTTATTATAGTTTTTGACAACAGAAGAAGTTAGTCACATCCCAGAGGTGCGACCACGTCAACAAGCGAAGAAAACATCGAAACAGTGAAAAAAAATGTGTTCTTAAAAATCATCGTATCACTATTAGAGAAGTTGCGGAGGATGTTAGCGTATCAATTAACTCATGTCATACAATTTTATCGAATGTTTTGGGCATGAAACGTGTGGCTGCGGAGTTTGTTTCGAAATTGCTAAATTTTGAGCAAACAACGATTAGGGTTTGCTTAACCGGATCATTTTGGCTCCCTGTGACTTTTTCCTATTACCAAAATTGAAGAAACCAATGAAAAGAAAGTGTTTTGTCACAATTGAGTCAGAATCGAAGAAAGAGCTAATGGCCATACCGATAAGCGAATTTCAGAAATGCTTCAAAGATTGGAAGCAGCGTTGGCACAGGTGTATTATATCTGAGGGGGATATTGATAAATAAATGAGAACTTTTCAAAAAAGACAAACTTCACCCTTTCCTTTGAACACACCCCGTATACCATGTAGACAGATATGCATATAGTAGCTATTTGTATAGAGTTACAATTTTTAGTAATCTTTCACATAACACTAATATGTTATATATAATATTTACCATTTTTGAACACACCATATTCACATATACATAAACATATCGTACTATAATATATAATAGTATTCCATTAACCAAGTGTGATTACGTATACGCAGTGGTGTACTCTTTGCTTTCAATCACTTAAGCGTTATATTTGTTAGTCACCAAATCATGATTTCAGCAGAGATGATATCATAAAAATTTTGTTGAAATTTCCAAATCACTATTTAGGAAAAACTGCTCAAATTTAAGAGCACTAAAAAAACGCTAAGCTTCTGCTGACCATAAAATTAAGCTGATCTATCAGCTTACTTGATACTGTAAAAACAACCAAGGATCGTGTTGAACATATCGTTCATATAAATTTGGATACCTGTGAAACACGATTGCCCTATCAGCCTACAACTGACCAAAGCAATAGCGAGGTGATGATTCCGAGCACTTTTTCGAGCTTTTCAATCGTAATATAAGCGTGTGTCAAATAATAAGCTCATATCTTCACATCAACATGTTTCAATAATTGAAAAATTTCTCCATAATTTCATCCGAATGAAATGCATGCGATGACCCAAATTCAAAGCATTTAAAGACAGAACAATCAGCTGGCAAAGCTATGACGTTTGTATTTTGAAAAGCAAGGAACAAGTTTTATCGTGAAAGGGGAGCCCATGAAAACAGCTATTATATTGAGTCATGTTTAAATGACGTAACCAGCATTATTTTATGAAAAAAAGTTCTGTGTCAACAAACCAATAACGCGATGAAAATGTATGATTAAAATAGTATTCCAATCACTTTTGCATTCACCGTGTTCTTCGCTTGCAGCCCACAGCGACTCTTGTCATGTTTTTAGATCTCAGAAGAGTGCTTGCAAAATGTAGTTTGGTTCAGTGAAGATTAAACTCAAGCGATTAAATATTTGTTTTAAGTCACGGAAAATTTATTAATGTCAGAGTTATTCTTGAAAAAACATTTAAAGAAAAATTTCCTTTTCAAAATTATTCCTTCAAATTTAAACTAAATCAAGTAATTTGTAATAGAATTGAGCAAGCTATGTTTCGAAAGATTTTGGAACATTAGAAATACTAGTACTAGGAGATTCACATAATTTTTTCATAAATAATATAAAAACATAGTTGTGCTGCTAATATGTAATCAATGGAAGGTTCAACATTCTTGGAGAGAGGATTTGTAGCAGGAAAAATACTTTGAATGTCTACTTATGTCGACCGAAAATTCATCAATGTTAGAATCTGATTGCAAATTTAATATATTAAATCAGAGTATGTCGAATTGTTCGTTTCCAAAGAAGCAAAGTTTATTTGATCTCATCTCAGTGTTCAAATAGCCCAAAACTTGAAATACGCAAGTAATTTATGTGATATACAATTAAGCTTAGAATAAAGGGTGAAGACAATCAGTGATCCTCGTTCTTAAAAAATGTATCTATATGTACACAAATATACATAAGAAAATGTTTCTAACGAAATGCAAGTGCAATCACCGAAAAATGGTTTAGATCGAATCACTTTAGCATATAGCTGCCATACAAACTGAAGGATCGCGAAGCAAGTTTCGTAAAGAATATTTTGTATTTGTGACGGGTATTTTAGCTTCGGTTCAACTGAAATTAACGTTTTCACTTGTTATTTATTCACTTTATGTCAAATTTTCAAAACTTCACTT